AAGGTGACTTACAGATGAGAGGTCAAACTTATGTATTCCTAAAGTCCAGTTCATGACCACCATGTTTTGTTGTTGCAGTTTCCCCAAGAGCTGGTTCGGAAGATGGATGGCAGAAAGCCGTACCCTGAAACCACACTGGGATTACTGCGCTTTATACGCAATTTCCATGAGCATTAGTAAGTTGAACTAAATGAAAAATTATTAATTCATGAACACATATTCATATGTGTATATATATATGAATTTCTTGTAACTATATGCACAAATCACAAATATTTCTGATATTATGTCAAATTTGGAAGCTTACGTCCATTGTTACTACTCATTAATAAAACTTTCTTTGTTCACAGTGAAGAGGACGCTGCTAAAATTGACGTATTGGTGTTATTTCCTGATCTCTTTGGGTGTGTTTACAAGTTTACCAAGGATAAAGGCTGGAATTTAGAAGGAAAGAAGGAAATGTTGCAAAAAGAACAAACAAAGGACAGAACTGCCTTTGCAATGTTTGAGCTTGGATTGACAAAAACTGAGCCTGTGCAACTTTCAAACACTCTTGAGACATTGCAGGCCATTTTGGAGTGCCTGCCATCTGCCATTGGATCCCCCAAAGCTGTTGGTCCCGAAGCAAAGCTCTGCAACTTCTTAGCAGTCTTTGCACTACTGATGTTTCAGTCACTACTGTCTGTAACTAGCAAAATCAAGATGTGTTCTGCACAACCATTCAGAGAAAATGTATATAAGCAAATACTATTATTAGAAGTACAGATGTTAATGAAAGCTTTGAAGGATATTTTGTTCAAGTGTGTATATATAAGCACACCACAGAAACCAAACTAGCAAATCAAAATTTGTTCTGCACAATAAGCCAAAGTTTTGCACCTGTTGTTCATTGTGACCACTTTCCAAATCCTGATAGAAGGAGAGATGTTATTTTAAGGGACTTACTATTATTAGACTTGAGTAATGTTTTTTTAATGGTTTTATATTTAGTAGTTAATCTAAAATGTGCTAATATGGTGGTTGTATTTGCAAATTTTAGTAAAGAAATTTTGAACCTAAAAAAATGGTAACACTGGCAGTACTTAAGGATAAATTCTTCCACTTCTGTTTTTTTAATTACATACAGACAGACATTTTTTCAGTGTTATACCAAATAGGAAAATGATAAACCTACTTTTTCCTCTTTTTTATGTATTTAAATTTTGTTGTGTGAATAAAATACATAGCTTAAGTATGCATTTTGATTTTTGAAA